CTGTCAAATAAATAAATAAAATCTTTAAAAAAAAAAAAAAAGCGAAAGAAGAAAAGTCACATGCTTATATTGATTGATGCAGAACAAGCATTTGACAAAACCCAACACCAATCTGTGACAAACACTCTCATAAAACTGGGAATGGCAGGGGAGCTTCTGCAACTTGAAGAACGTGCACAGATGTTCCCTTAAGATTGGGAATAAGGCAAGAATATCTGCTCTCACTGTTCTTATTCAACATAGTGTTGAAACTTGTAGAAACAAAAGGCACACAGATTGAGAAGGAAGGAATAAAACTGTCTCAATTTGCAGATGATATAATTGTCTTCGTAGGAAATCCCAAGATATCCACAGAGAAAAACTCCCATAATTAATAAGTGAGTTTTACAAGGTTGCAGTATACAAGATCAACACACAAATCTCTTTACATGATTTTGAGGCTTATCATATAGTAGCTCCAGTAATCAAGACTGCATGCTATTGGTAGGGGAATAGACACATAGACACATAGGGAATGAAATGGTGAGCCCAGAAACAGACCCACATAAATCTGCCCAGCTGGTTTTTGACAAAGGCACAAAAGCAATTCAATGGAGGAAGGATAGTCTTTTCAACAAACAGTGCTGGAGAAATTGGACATCCATAGGCAAAAAAAAAAAGAACTTTAACCAAAACCTCACACCTTATACAAAAATTAACTCAAAATGAATCATATATTTATATGTAAAATGTAAAACTATAAAACTTTTAGAAGACAACATAGGAGAAAATATTTTTAGATACAATCCATAAAAGAAAAAATTGATAAATGGGACTTCATCAAAATTAACACTTTTGTTAAGAGTATAAAAAGACAAGCTAAAGGGGCACCTGGGTGGCTTAGTCGGTTAAGTGTCTGCCTTCGGCTCAGGTCATGATCCCAGGGTCGTGTTGGGTTCCCTGCTCAGCAAGGAGTCTGCTTCTCCCTCTTCCTCTGCCCCTCTCCCCTGCTCATGTTCCCCCCACCCCCCAAGTAAATAAAATCTTTAGAAAAAAAAAAAAGACAAGCAGCGGACTGGGAGAAAATGTTTGCAAAGCACATATCTGCTAAAGGACTCATATCAAGAATATATAAAGAACTTTCAAAACTCAGTAATTAAAAAACCCCAAATCACTAATAATCCAATCAGAAAATAGATAAAAGATATGAAGAAACAATTCATTGAGGAGGATATACAGATGGTGGCAAACGAGCACCTGGAAAGATATTCAATATCATTAGCCATTAGGGCAATGCATATCAAAATCACAATGAGATTCCACCACATACTTACCAGAATGGCTAAAATTGTTAAAAATCAGCAGAATGCCCACACTGATTCCTGATCCATGGAATGAGGCAATCATGGCAGAAAGGCCCAAGTAGAAATCTCCGGGGCTTTGCCTTTCTATCAAAGTGTAAGTCAAAAGAAATAACATATACTTAGAGGACAATGTCAGAAATTAGTTCAAAGACTTGAGAAATGCAGGGAAGGAAATTCCTATCATATCTCCATTTAATTCACTATTTGGCTTTGCGCAGCAGTTGGTTAAGTCTTCATGAATGTGACAGTTTTAAGCCAGGGCTCCAAAATTCTTTGACACTCCTCTCATTGAAAGGTGGGGTTGATGCCTTCTCCCCTTGAACCTGGATAATCTTGTGACTGCTTGAATCATACAACACAGCAGAACTGATTTATGGGACTTCCAGGGCCAAGTTTCAAAAGGTTATTCTGACAGTTTTATGCCTTATCTACTCCAACACCTGCTTTTGGAGACCTGAGCCACTAAGTCCAGAGTCTGACTACTCTGAGGCTGCCATGCTATAAGGAAGTCCAAGCCACATGGGCAGACTCCTGTTCCAGTTCCAGTTGCACCGGGCCTTCCAGCTGAATTCTCACCATACTTGTAATCTGTCGGCATTATAACATGTTTAAGGACACGGACTTTTGGGATGGCTTGTTATTCAGCTGACACATTATGCTGAGGAAGTCAGACAGGACAAAGTAGAATGTCTTCTCTCTGCTCCATAATGTCTGGGGCCTCAGCTGAGATGACTCAGTGGCTGGGGGTGACCAGATGGCTAGAGGCTATAATCTTCTGGAAGTCTCCTCCCTTACATGCCTGTTACCTGTGTGAGGATGCTTATTCTGGCTATTTCACCTGAGTGGGGTCATATAATATTTGTCCCTCTATGCTTACTTCCTTTAGCATGGTGTTTTCTTCTTTCTTTTTTTAAAAAAGATTTTATTTTTAAGTAATTTTCAGCCCCAACGTAGAGCTCAAACTCACAACCCTGAGATCAAGAGTCACATGCTCTATTGGCTGAGCCAGCCAAGCGCCCCTAGCATGATGTTTTCAAGGTTCATCCATGTTGTAGTACGTATTAGAACTTCACTCCTTTTTATGACTGAATAATACTCCATTGTATGGATAGACATTTTGTCTATCCAGTCATCTGTAGATGGACATTTGGGTTGTTTCAACCTTTAGGCTATTGTCAATAATGCTGCTATGAATATACACGCACAAGCATCTGTTTAAACATCTGTTTTCAAGTCTCTCGGGTATATACACATAGGAATGGAATTGCTGAGTCATATGGCCACTCCGCGTTTAACCTTTTGAGGAACCACCAGACTGTTTTCCCCAGTAGCTGCACCATTATACTTGACAGCAGAGTGTTGCCGCTCACGCCTGACTTTGTGGCTTGCTTGGCCAAACAATGCTCAGTTCATGATGTGCAGCTCAGGTCTTAAGATCACACAGTTATTCAGTTTCAACCTAGGACGAAAGAAAGTCAGGGGCTTTGCCTCCCAGTAAATTGGTGCATGTGTAGGTCCTAGCTTCATTTTTTTTTTTTTCAATTAATCTTTATTAAACATGAGAACTAATGCCTTTCTTGGCCTGTCTGGGGATCAAACCCACAACGTTGGTGTTGTTAGGTCACATTCTACTCAACTGAGCTAACCAGCCACGTGGCCAGTCCTAGCTTTATTTTTATCCCAAATTCCAGAGGCCTGAACTGTGATTCTCTTATCAAGGCGTGGAAAAGGCTCTGTGTAGCAGCCTAATGGGAGATGCCACCTCCAAAAAGAGGCCCACCAAGCACTGTGCTTCTTTCTTAGTGGCAGTGGACTTGAGGTATGGCAATTTGGTTTTCACTTTGGGGAACCATCTCAATATGCCTCAGCCCACTGGATGCCCAGAAACCTCATGGAGGTGGTGGGCCCCTAAATTTTCATGGGGCTTATCTCTCACCCTGAGATGAAATATTTGTTCAGGTTCAGTTGGCAGAATACCATTAATGTAATGGACCAGCATGATGTCTTGGGGGACAGGGAGATGATCAAGTCAGTCCCTGGGGACTTAATTACAATAATCTGCCAGAGAATTGAAGGGACAGTTCCAGGGGCTTCCTTTTGAGTTTTCTTCCCATAATTGTCCTCAGTCCTTGAGTCAAAATTCCCCTGTGGGAATTTTTCCAGCTGCGGATTTTTCCAATTATACAGTTAGGAACTGGGGAAAAAGCCACAGGAGGACCCACAGTGAGAGGGACACAGACTAAGTCTTCATTTCTGACCAGTGGACCACAGTGGCAATCTATGTCCCCCAGGGAAAGAAGGATGAAGGTTTGAAGTATACACTAGTGTTGTATGTACCTGGCCTAGTCTTCACTTGAGGGCTCTGAGCCTGTGGGCGACTGGATCTGGGGATTAGATGAGGGGCCATGTTTTCCACTGTGGCAATTCAAGGCAGACTGCCATTCACCAGACCTAGAGTTTTTGTTGTTGGGGTTATATAGATCATGGTCTATTATAGATGGCTTATTTTTTTTTTTAAAGACTTTGTTTATTTATTTGACAGAGGGAGGGAGAGAGAGTGCGCACAAGCAGGGGGAACGGCAGAGGGAGAGGGAGAAGCAGGGAGCCCGATGGGGGGCTTGATCCCAGGACCCTGGGATCATGACCTGAGCCAAAGGCAGACGCTCAACTGACTGAGCCACCCAGGCGCCCCAGGTGGCTTATTATTAATAGGACATCATGACCAATTAGCCACCACCAAAGATTCTTGCGGATAAACCATTCTGGTTCCAGCTGCCAGTCCTGCTGCCAATCATGATGCCCCCACTTGGCCACTGCTGCTCCAGGCTCCCTGTTTCTATGGCAACACCTCTCACCTCCTTTCCTAGATTAGTTTTCCAGAACCTTCACCAAAGTACTTCTCAATGTTTTGATGAAAGGAATGTCCTTTGAACTTTCTCTGGGGATGTAGTTAAGGGTTGAGCCAGTAGGTTGCACATGACAAGTTCATTCCCACAGTTCCGCCTACCCAAGTCTTAGGATTGGAGACAATGAGGGATGTGAGGAGTTGGGGCACAAGGACAATTGGCATTCTCTTGCTCAGGTGATTTTATCACAAGATCTCCAAGAAAGACAGGATCAACCTCACCAGATGGGGGTGGGGGGAACCCCTACTTCTGCTGGTAAGGGAAGGTCCGGGGGGTTTCTGGGCTCAAGACACATCCATTAAACAAAAATACTTACTGAACATCTTCTAGGAGCTGGATATATAGCAGTGAACAAAACAGACAAACATTTCCTGGCTCCGTAAGGCTAACATTCTAGTGAAGAGAGACAATAAACAAGATTCATTTAAGGCAGAGGGAAGAGCGGGTGCAAAAGACCTGAGAAGGGGGTGTGCCTGGAGTGGGGTGAGTAACGGTGGAAGGAGTGGACTCAGAAAGAGAATGGGGAGCAGCCATCATAGACACTTTGGCTTCTTTTAAAATATTTTATTTATTTATTTATTTGGCACAGAGAGAGAGCACGCGTGTGAGAGAGCACAAGCAGGGGGAGTGGCAGAGGGAGAGGGAGAAGCAGACTCCCCACTGAGCAGGGAGCCCAACGCGGGACTCGATCCCAGCTCCCTGGGATCATGACCTGGGCCGAAGGCAGACGCTTAACCCACTGAGCCACCCAGGCGCCCCAGATACTTTGGCTTTTACTCTTAGTGAGATGGTGTTTTGGTTTCCTAGGGCTGCCATAACAAATTACCCCAAACTGGGTGGCTTCAAACAATAGAAATGTACTCTCTCCCGGTCTGGAGGCTGGAAGACTGAAATCACTTTAGTCTCTGCCTACATCTTCATTTCTTTTGCTTGTGTGTCTTTTCCCTTCTCTTCCCTCTCTCTTTTTTAAAAATATTATTTATTTATTTATTTGAGAGAGAGAGAGAGAGCAGAGTGAGCAAGAACATGAGTGGAGGGGAGGGGCAAAGGGAGAGGAAGAAGCAGGCCCCTTGCTGAGCAGGGACCCCGATGTGGGGCTCGATCCCAGGACCCTGGGATCATGACCTGAGCTGAAGGCAGACGCTTCACCCACTGAGTCACCCAGGTGCCCTACCTTCTCTTCTAAGGACACCTGTCATTGGATTTGGGGTCCACCTGAGTAAGGCAGGATGATCTCATCTTGAGATCCTTAACTTAATTATATCTACAAAGACTCTTTTCCAAATAAGGGTCCAGGGGTGAGAATATACCTTTTGCGGGGGGGGGCCCGCTTCATCCCACTACAGATGGGAAGTCATTGGGCTTTGAGCAGAGCAGGGACATGGCCTGATTTACAGTTTAAAAGCACTTGCCAGCTGCTATGTTAAGACAGTATAATTGGACAAAGTAGAAGCAGGGAGATCTGTAGGAGCCCATTGGAAAAATAGAGGAGAGCCATAATGATGGCATGGACTATAGTGACAGCAGTGAGGGTGATAAAAACCATCAGAATCTGGACCTCTTTTGAAAGCAAAGCTGAGAGGTTTTGCTACCAGATTGGATGAAGAGTTTTGGGGAAAGATGAAGCCCATAGGAGAACCATCAGTGAATACCTCAAAGTTATTCAGTGAAATATTTACCAATGAAGCATTATAAAATAAGGGGGGGGAAGTAGTGAACTACTCATGGATTGGCTGATTCTGGGGACTTTGGTTATCTATAAAAAGTCAATTTACATCATTATTATTATTACCTTGGCTTACACCTAAATAAATTCTAGATAGAATTAAAAGTGAGGAAAAGCCAATCATCAGCTGTTTTTTAAGCCACAGCGAAATAAAATCTTTGTATGGCCGAGGAGAAATGAAAGAAAAGCAGCAACTCATTAGAAAATATAATGGCAAAAGATTCCATTTACAATTGCAATAAGGAATTAAATAAAGAGAGCTTAGTTAAATCCACAGAGGTTAGATTAAGAATCGCCGCTTGAGAGAGAGAAGAGTGAGAGGACACCAAAGAAGGAAGGGAAGACAGTTTGAACCACAATTCGCTACTTCCTGCTGTCAGGTATTGCAGCCATTAAGCGACTTTTGACTATAGAGCACTTTACATGGAGCCCCCGTCCTGGAGTTCAAATGCAGGTGCGCTCTACGTGTACAACACACACTGGAAATTCTTTTTTATCTCACCCCCACACACAAACACAAATGTAAAATATTCCATTCATGAAGTGTATCGCTTATATGTTGAATTGCTAATATGTCGGATCACTGGGTTAAACAAAATTCGTTATTAAAATCGATTTCACGGGGCGCCCGGGTGGCTCAGTTAAGTTAAGCGTCTGCCTTCAGCTCAGGTCATGATCCCAGGGTCCTGGGATCGAGCCCCACATCGGGCTCCCTGCTTGGCGGGAAGCCTGCTTCTCCCTCTCCCACTCCCCCTGCTCGTGTTGCCTCTCTCGCTGTGTCTCTCTCTGTCAAATAAATAAATAAAATCTTTAAAAAAAAATCAATTTCATCTTTTTCTTTTTACGTTTTTTTTTTTTTTTTCCCTTGGGGCTGCTGGAAAATTTAAAAGTCCACAAGTGGCTCGCACTGTATTTCTATTGGCCAGCACCACTCTAGCTAGATGGGAATTGCAAGCAGCGAAGGAC